TAGCATTCAGAATTCTCCTTGACTTCCTAATATTTTTTCATCTCTTGACTTCTGTGATGGTCCTAGTTTTCCTCTTGCCTGTTTACCTGTTCTGATTTAGCAATCAGGCAATCAACAAGTATTTTATTAAGCCTTCTATTATTATAAGCCAGGTCCTGGGCCAGATACTGTGGAAACAAGTACAGAGATAAAATAATCTGGAGGCAAGTGGCTTGCACAAGTACAAAGTGAATAAGTAGGAATAAATACATAGTTAAGTATAAGGTAGCTTGGGAGGGGGACAACAGTAGCAACTGAGATTAAGAAAGGCTTCATAGAGAAGATTGTGCTTCAGTTGTATGTTAAAGGAAGACAGGATCTCTGAGGTGGAGATGGGGAGAGAGTTCATTCCAGGCCATGGGAGATGGGGCAGTGCAAAAGCATGGAGGCAGGAGATATAATGTGCTGTATTTGAGGACCAGAAAGAATAAAGACCTCTTTGGCTGGATTACAGAGAGGGAGGGTGTGTGTGTGTGTGTGTGTGTGTGGTGTGTGTGTGTGTGTGTGTGTGTGTGATGTCCAATGAGACTGGAAAGAGATTAGGGCCATATTGTTTAGGGCTTTCAAAGCTAAATAGAGGAATTTATATTTTATTCTAGAGGTAATAGGAGGTCACCAGAATTGGTTGAGTAGAGAAGTTAAATGATCAGATCTGCACTTAAGGAAAATTACTTTGGAAGCAGCATGTAGGCTAGACTGGAGTGGTGAGAGAATTGACGCAGAGGGACCAATTAGGTGGCTGTAGGAATAATCCAGGTGAAAGATGATGAAGGCCTGAATTTAGGTTGTAGCTATGTGAATAGACAAGAGGGATCAGAAGAGAGAGGTGTGGTGAATGTACAGCAGTATTTGGCAGCTCTTTGGATATATGGGGTGAGGGAGAATGAGGAGGCCAGGATGATGCTGAGGTCACAAACCTGGAGACTGGCAGGACGGTAGTATCTTTCACAGAAATAAGGACATTGAGGAGAGGAGAGGGTTCCAGGAGAAGATTGGGTTCTGTTTTGGACATGTTGAGTTTAAGGTGTGTCTGGGACATCCATTTTGAAATGTCTAATAGGCAATTGCTGACGGACTCAAGTTTGAGGGAGACTGGTTGGATGGATATTGATACACGCATATGTCACCTGTATAGAGATGATAGTTAAACTCATAGGATCTTGATAGGTTACTAAGAAATAGAAGGAGAAGAAAACGGGATTTAGAATTAAGAAGGATGATGACTGAGAAAAGACCTTTAGATTGGGCAATTAAGAATTCGTTGATAACTTGAGTGGTAATGTAGGAAGGCAGATTTTAAAGGTTTGAGAAATGATTGAGTGAGAGAAGAGGAAGTAGAAGCAGTAAGTGTAGACGTGATCCTTCATTGATTCATCTTTTTCCCATCCTTGAGGACCAGTATTCTCTGTGACTCTATCCAGCTTTCTCTCTGCCTTTTCTCTTTGATGTCTTAATTTGTGTTTGTACAGATGGCTCCAAATCTATAGTTTCATTTTAACCTCTGAAGTGCAGTCCCACATTTCTATATGCCTATTTGATGTCTCTATCTTAAAGTTTCGTTGTACCCTCAACTTTAATGTCCTCCCACCCCTTCTTAAAACAAAACCTTTGCCCCTTTCTGCACCTTTTCTACATATGTTGATAATACCATCCCTGTAAACACTGAGGTTTAAAGGCTCAGAACTTTGAAAAAACATTGCTCTTACTTCCAAATCCTCTTGATTTTGCCTCTCCGATATCTTTTGCATCTCTTCATTCCTTTCCTTTTCCACTCATATTGTGGTAGTTTTGGCCCTCCTTATCCCTTTCCCACTGTAGAAGCCTCCCTACTGGTTGGTCTCCCTGTCTCCTGTGTTCAGTTCATCCTTCCCATAGTTGCCAGATGAACTTTCATAAGGCCATGGTACTCCTCTGCCCTCAAACCTTCAGTGGCTCCCTGTCATTTAGAGAATAAAATAAAAACCCCTTAGCTTATCAGGTTCTAATATACCTTTCTAGTTGTTGTTCAGTTGTTTTTCTGTCATATTTGACTCTTTGTGACCCCATTTGGGATTTTCTTGGCAAAGATACTGGAGTGCTTTGCCATTTCTTTCTCCAGCTCATTATACAGATGAGGAAACTGAGGCAGGCAGGGTTTAGCGACTTGCCTAGTAAGTGTCTGAGGTCACACACTCCTCTTCCTGACTCCAGGCCCAGCACTCCATGCACTGTGGTGCCACCCAGCTGCTCAGTCTTACTGGCTAGTCTTACTCATTTTATTTATCATCCACACACTTGCTCTGCCATCCAGAATGGATTACTAGTTATCTTAGATGTTCTTTGGTTCCCTACCTCCATGCATTTTCATAGGCCGTTTGCCATTCCCAGAATGTACACCTTTCATATTTCTACCTGTTGAAATATTTTCCTTCAAAGCTTAGCTCAGGAGATATCTTATCCAATGCAACCTCAATAACTTTCCCCTTACTTCTTTCCTGAAGCTAAAAAAAGATCTGTCCTCATATTTTTTTATACTACTTAATCTAAATTTCTCCTTGGCCCTTATCACAGCCTACTTTGGATTTTAATTATTTGTATACATGTCTTAAACTTCCAAGTTTATTGGAAGCTCCCTGAAGTCAGGGTCCATATTTTTTTATTCCAGAGCCTTCTAGTGCAGTGTCTTGCCCACAGTCAACACTTAATGAATGTTTAGATTAGATTGATGTGAATTACCTCTGAAAGAAACTTGACTTAGGACTTTTCATGGGGATTTGAGCAAGGCATTCCATGCCTAAGGAACTGACAGTGAGGAAAGACACAGGATAGAATTGGAATGAATTGCATTTGACTGGAAGAGGTTAGGATAAGAGACTTGAAAAGGAATGGAAGATAAATATGGGACAAGACTGTGGGCCAATGTTTTTGAGCTGGGGAATGGTGGTCAGAGCTTAACATGAGAAAGATTAATCTGGCATTGTGCAGGATGGGTTGGAAGAGGGAGGGCAGCAGGTGGGTTAGCAGAGAGATGTAATGAGGGCCTTTGGGTATGGTCATTCAGCCATTTCTGAAGGCAAGAGTTAGACAACTCACATCTTTTAAGGATATAATGAAACTATTGAATGCTTTGCTAAAAATTCAGATATGTACTGCCTATGGTGATTATTTCAGTTCATATAACTTTGTCAAAAAAATGTCTTGAGTTTCCATCTGACATGACTTGTCCTTAATGAATTGTACTGGATCACAGTGATCACTTCTTTTTTCTAAATACTCAAAATCCATCTGTTTAATATTCTGTTCTAGAAATTTGCCTGGATTCAACATCAGCCCATCGTTAGCATGATTTACTTTCTTGAAAATCAAGACATTTAGGGGCAGCGAGGTGGCGCAGTGGATAGGGCACTGGCCCTGGAGTCAGCAGGACCTGAGTTCAAATGTGCTCTCAGACCAGACACCTGACAGTTAGTAGCTCTGTGACCCTAGGCAGTTGCACACCAATTGCCTCGCAAAAAAAAAAAATCAAGACATGTATCTATTTGCCTGAAATCCTATAGCACATTAACTTCTGATCCTCAGATTGTAGATTTAGGGCTGGAAGAGTCTTCTGAAGCCATCTGGTTCAACCCTCATTTTACAGATGAGGATACCAAGGCCCAGGGAGCCCAAGTGACTTGCCCAAGGTCACACGGGCAGTAGGAGGGAAGACTGATCAGAGCCAGGTTTTCTGACTGCAGAGCCCCAGCCCTCTTCACTCTGTCAGGCAGCCACACTGAGAGCAGGTACAGCTGCAAGCGCTTTCAGGACCTGAGATGGCCAAGCCCATTCAAGCCAACCAGTGTCTGTTTATAGCACCACTCTTATTCCTACCTACTAATTCACCATTATAAGGGTTTTAGATACATTATCTCATCTCATGTGTTCATGCTCCATTAAGTGGATGCCATATTATTCCCACTTCATGGTTGGGTAAACCTAAGCTCATGGAGATGAAGGGACCTGCCCAGGTTCACATAGTAAGTTGCAGAGCAGGGATTCAAACTGGGTTCTCCTGATTCCCAGGCAAGCGTTCATTCTTAATCTTTAGTCAGATGCCATGTTAGCTTTGGCCTCAACATTCAAAAAAGTGTTTCATTATGTCCTTAAGAGATGCGAGCTGCCTAACTCTTGCCTTCAGAAGTGACTGAATGACCTACCCAAAGGCCCTTATTACATCTCTCTGCTAACCTGCCTGCTAACCTCTCTTCCAACCCATCCTGCACAATGCCAGATTAATCTTTCTCATGTTAAGCTCTGACCACCATTCCCAGCTTAAAAACGTTGGCCTACCATGTAAGGTCCCCCACAGTCTCGTCCCATATTTGTCTCCCATTCCTTTTCAAGTCTCTTATCCTAGCTTCTCCAGGCAAATGCAATTTATTCCGATTCTATCCTGTGTCTTTACTCACTGTCAGTTCCTTAGGCATGGAATGCCCCGCACCAGTCCCCCTGAAAGTCCTAATTTTATTTTTCTGGTGGACCTAGTTTTTTTTTTCTTTTTAAGGAAAAGTGTTAAGAAGTGGCAGCAAGAGGATAGTGGTTGGAAGGCTGTCCTTGAAGTCAGGAAGACCTAGATTCAAGTTTGGCCTTCAAAACCTACTCGCTAAATAACCTAACCATTTAGTGCCCCAAATAACTCTGTTAAGAATAAGTTACAGGGGTTTCCATTCTGGGAATTGCTTATAGTGATGAAATCTTAGGATTAGTCCTCCTTTGGAGGGAGAGAGGGTGTGAGGCCGGTGTTTGTCCTGAGAGAATGGGCAGAACTGCTTTGTAGAGTGTTTGAAGACCAGATGACAGACCTTTGGTGTTAGGAGAATGAGGGGAAAGGTTTGACGGATTATATGTGCCACCACCATTCCTGAGAGCAGAGCTTCTTAGAAGATTCATTTAAATGTCTACCCATACTTTCAACTAGACATTTATTTTTTCCTTTCTTATAGGGTTTAAAGCCTGTGGCATCCTCAGAAGCACCACCTATTATATTTGCCACACCAACGAAATTTGCTTCAGAAACAGCTCCATATGATTATGTTGGGAAAAACAAAGTTCCAGAGCTGCAGAGATTTTTTCAGGTGAGAATAGGAAAAGAAGCCTGTGAAATACTCGATTTCTTGTAACCTTTTAAGTAGAGGTTTTCTTCTCACAGTCTGAATCTGTCTCCTTTAATACTTATGCCACCTCCATCCCCATACATGAATTTCTAATAATATAAATTGCCTCACATTCCTTGAAACCTTTTTTTTTTTAATCTGCGGGCTTTATTTTCACTCTCTGGTAAAAGTGAAAACATTCGTGTTGTAGGTGGTTTCCATAGGATCAGAGGTTTTTAGTTGGATACAGGAGTTCTTGATTTGTCCAAATTAGGGGAGAGAAATAATCCAAAAGACATTTCTGTTTGGCTTTAAAGAAAAGGTTATGGCTTAAAAAAATTGCCAGCAGTTCCATGACATAATTTTTTTTAAAATTCGGCTGTTAAAATTCAGTCTTTCTCTATCCTCTGCCTTTAAGAGGATGAGGTTCATTGTGGTAAAATGAGAGGCCTCCAGCCAGATGCTGCTATTTATTATCCAGGTGGCTTTGGACCAGTCATTTCTCTGGGCCTTGGTTTCTTCATGTAAGTAAGGAAGTTGAATTAGATAACCTCTAAAGTCCATTTAAGATCTAGATGCTCTGAAATTTGCTGAAAGGCAGAAGGAAGTCAGATTGGAAATCAGATATTCCAGATATATCCACTCTAAGGAGTGGTTCTTCTATATGCATAATTAAAGCTTACTGCTAAGAAAAAAAGGGACACTTTGCACAGTGTCCCTTAATGATTGAAGAAATATTCATTACACCCAAACCTACCCCCCTTCCAAACTTCCTGCTCTCACTCAGCTCACATATATAATCATTTGCCACATCTAGTTAGTCTTTCTTCACATTTCTTATGTTTCCTCTCTATCCACACAGCTACCATCCCATTCCTGACCCTTATAACCTCTCCTTTGTACTGTCACGAGAGTATTTGAATTGTTCTGTCTACCTCAGGTCTCTCATCCAGTCCATCCTCCACGTGGCTACCGAAGTGCAGGCCTGCCCATGTTACTCCCTCACTTTCTCCCCACACTCAGTACACTCAGGTGTATCCCTGTTACCCCTTAGGGGCCCCTTGTTACCTCTAGCATCAGATGTATAGTCCTCTAGGATTTAAAGCTCTCAACAGTTCGATCTCTTTTTCTCTTTTTAGTTTCTTACATATTCCACCCCTCCATGAACTCCATGGTCCAGCATTACTGACTTACTTGCTATTCCTTCTGGATGGTGCTCTATCTTCCATGCCTAAGCCTTTGTACTGACCGTCTTTAATGCCTGACATGCTCTCCCTCCTGACTTTCATCTCCCTCAATCAGAAGTGACCTTTCCTGGTCCCCCAGGCTAGTGCCTGCCCCTCTCAGGTTACCTTCCACCTATTCTACACATCTTTTGTATGTACCTGTTTATGTACACATTTCCTCCTTCATTAGGATGAGAGCTCCCCAGTGCTTAGCTCAGTGCCTGGCACACGGGCACTGCCTGTTGATTGCCTGATCGATCGCTGTGGTTGACGCACATACGTGCCCTGATCTTGAGCTGAAGGAGACTTTAGAAATCACCTTGCCTAGCTCTCGTTTGATGGATAAGGAAACTGAGGCCCAGAGACATACGGGAAATTGCCCAACGTTGTACATTCAGCCTTGAAGGCGAGGCTTCCAGACTCCAAATCTGATACTGTTCCTATGACTCGTAGAATGATTTTGTTTGAAATGAGGCACCACCTATCACATGCTTTTTTACTTGATGAACAAGACTGAGAGGGTATTTTAATGAATTGAAGGCAGAAGGGAAGCATCTTGGAGAGGGTGGAACATAATGGACTAAAGCTGCTTTTGTAGATTTTCCCTTAATATACAGGGCTTTAAAAGCTTAATGGAAAAAGGACAATTGAGCACAAAATGGACCTGAACTCATTCACACTTAATCAGCCTATTGTATTCAGACTTTGGTCCTCCTGGGATCAGGATTGCATATTAAAGCAAACAGTATTTTGTTTTGCCTGGATTCTGATTTATTTAAATCTTTTGTTCTTTAGTGTCCTTTTCCTCATTAAACTTAGTCTATGATAAGTGCCTCAGAAATAAGGAACCTATAATATAAAAGATATGCATATGCCCAAATTTGGAGTGATTGCAGATTCAGAAACTAGCCATATTTACATGAAAATGTCTAGTATTTTGTGTTCAGAGGAATGAATTTTTGTTTTTTCTCCATTAATCATGCTGGTGGATTAGTTTTAGAGTCTCTTGACTTACATGTGCCTTCTCGGTGTTTGCTACTTGCATATGTTAACACATGCTGTTTTTTTTTCCTCCAAGAAATCTGATGGTTTACCTGTCCACTTGAAACACGGTCTGCCTGACCAAATGCTCTATCGGACCACGATGGCTTTGACACTGGGAGGGACCATCTACTGCCTGATAGCTCTCTACATGGCTTCACAACCCAAAAATAAATAAGATGGGATTCATAAGACTGATTGATTGATTAACAAGAGTTTTGGCATAAAACCCTTTGAATTTTCTATTTTCCTAATTGCCAGTGAATTTTCCTCACCTGTGTAAGTTTATGTTCTTGGTTGGTTTGTTTCTGAGAATAAGTAGATTATCAGAACATGTTGAAGAGTTAGCTATTATTTAAGCAGAGGTGATGAAGCCCTTCTAATTTGGCCTCCCTTATTTCTCCAGAGGTTGGCGGGCCAGCTCATCACTGTGATGAGGCCACCAGGGGGTTTTGGTTGTGCCTATCAGAGGCCCTGAGAGAGAGACTGCAAGTGGGGGAAGCTTTTCTGTAACCAGATGTGCTGGCTAAGAGAGAAGGGGATTCACTGAAGCTGCACCAGTGACAGGAAGTCCTTTAACTTCCTGGTGCCAAAAATCTGTTCTTTCTGACACCGCAAATTTCACTGGGAATTTAATTAGCTGTTAATTTGGGGAATTTTTCCATCTTGCAGTATGGTGTTAATAGAAATTATTTTCTGTTAACTCTCCGTATACCCATAACTTTGTCATATAATTTCAAAAGGGTTATATGCCTGATCTCTGACCTCTTTAAATATTCCAGAGATGAAGATTCTGTATTTATTCCACCATGGGAACAGAACAGCTCTTAATGAAAGTTTTGCACTTTGGACTGAACTGTTGTACAGTTAAATCCCTGCTGTCGCTTCTCCTTTACTCTTGTTAAATCCTGTAGCTTTAAGGTATAGTTTATTTTTGCTTGTGGAATAAATACATGAATGAGAAGTTTCAAGTTGAGTTTTTATTTTGAATTAAATGACCTTTTCAGTACATAATTTCATAATAGACATGTTTTGATTGCTGCAGTTGCTTTTTGTTCTAACATTTAATTCTGACAGCTTCCTCCGAGTTGAGGGTAGAGCTAACACGACAGTAATGATTAATTACCATACTGTCCTTTTGTAAGGAAGACAATAGCCTTTAAGTGATTTTTTCTTTCTCTAGAACATTTGGGGAGAATTCTCCTTGATTCTGTCAGTTGTGTAGAGGAATGGGAATCTTGTTCCCTCTAATACATAAGCTTTCGGTTGTGGCCTGTACGTCCTTACAGTCAAAGTCAAAAACTGAAAGCCCCCTCTCTTTTAAGGATAAAATAAATGTAGTAAATTTGTGGGGAGCTTTAGCACAGCTCTTTGTTCACAACATGAGAATAGGTTCCTTTCATACAGAATAGTTATCAACTATTGCATCAATAATCTTCATTCTTCTGTAGTTTTCAAATAAGTGTTTCTATTTATTTTTAACTTGACTTTTCTTCCCTGTCAAAATGCAGAAGTAATTTCTGGCTTTATGGTGGGGATTTTTATTACATCAAGATTATGTGTGTGTGTGTGTGTGTGTGTGTGTGTTATATATATAATTTATTTATTTGTTTGTTTGTTTGTTTGTTTATTTATTTTGGCAAGGCAGTTGGGATTAAGTGACTTGCCCAGGGTCACACACTTAGTAAGTGTCAAATGTCTGGTCTGAGACTGGATTTGAACTTGGGTCCCCCTAACTCCAGGGCCGGTGCTCTATTCACAAGCTGATATATCTTAAAGACACTCCAACTTGCCTAAAGAGATACATGGGACTTCCTCTGTGTAGCCCCATAGTCTCTGGGTAATAGCAGCACTGGACTACTTAGTGTGGTCCTCCTCCTCGACCTCAAACTTGGAGTGTTCAGTATATCCCACTTTCTTTTATAACTTACTCCTCATAAATTTGTCCAAACCTTTTTTGATGACATTGATTTTATTCCCTGTTGTTATTATGTGGTTTGTCCTTCGTTCTCAGAGGACTGTGACATCAGGGAGATGATGACAGGACTTGCAGTTGACTGATTTGAGGGAGGGAGGGCTGTGCTAAGTCACCAGCCTCGCTTTCTCCTCCAGAGTCATCTGGGTCCAGTGGCCAGATATTCATCAGGATGAGTAGAGGTGGCCCAGGATGCAGTGGGAGACCCTGGCCCTTTCAAGCCAAGGTCTTTCCAGGTTCTCACTTTGAGTGAGGCAATGAACAGGACTCTTTAAGAAGTGAGTCAAGGGATAGCCCCTTTAATAAAAAAAAAACAACAAACAACAGACTGGGAGGGGAAGACTGTCAAGGTTGCTGGCCAAAAGAGAAAGTTACTATTTACATTCACTGTGAGCAGGGAGGGCCCAAAAAAAAAATAACCATTAAGTGGTGCTTGAGCAGTACCTATTGTCCAATCAGTGGGAACCAGAGTGAATTGGGTTTAAGGCTTGGTCTTTGAGAGAGAAATCTAGCCAGCAAACCCCAAATTAACTAGTAACCAATTTACCTTTAATTTTGATGGCCCTGTCATACCTCTTTGCTTAAAGGATACCCAAAGTTGCTCATTAGCAGATTTGAAGTAGTGTTTCCTTTTGTTATAAACACTGAAATCTCTGAGGCTGCCTCTTTATGTTGAGAATGAATGGTAAACCAGTCAGTGATCAGTCTTTCCAAACTGAGAGATCCCAGTTTTTAGTTTGTCCTTCCAAAGCAGCAAACCGCACCTACATCAACCCTCCTCCAGCCCCTATCCTTTTGGTTGTTTTAGTTGCCCATCTCAAGATGGGCATGTCTGTCATAATATTGGTGAGCAGAACCACACAGAAAGTTTCAGGGAGAGCTGTACCACCAGCCTTTTATAAGGGTAGGATAGTGTCTTTCTATAGTACCCTTCTGGATGGTAGCAAGGCCAAACATTCCTGAAAGACATTGGACCTCAGCTGGACCTTACTAAGGAGGGTTGACTAAATGAAAAGATCCATTCTAGCTCTAAGAGTCTGTGTCCTTTGGTTTTACGGGTTTTTCCTTCACCAGGTATAGTTCTGCTATCATTATTCAACTCTGAAACCTGGAGCTTCCCATGGTTATCTTGCCAGAATTTGACTTTCCCTGAAATCTCTGTACTGCTTATCAGCTTTTCACAGAGCCATGAAGAGCTGACCGCTTGGTAGATAATGGCATGATGTTGGCATGTGGCTGAGAGACTGTTCCTTTGGATCAGGTCTCTTACAACATAGACACCTTTGGAAGCCCTAAAGGCACAAGAAAAGAAGACCTAAGAACAGTGTGCTAGCACTGCCTGACCCTTGTTTTTCAGAGCATGGATTAGAATAGCAGTGTGAAGAAGGTGGCCTTCAGAGGTGAAGAATCATTTGCACTCTCCCCCACTCAGCGGTATGCATATGCATAGCCCTGAATCTTAGGAATATTGGACTTGATGATGGCTCCAAGATGAGCAGGTGCTTATAGAGCACAGCTGGACGTGCTGAGGATGAACTGAGACCGCAGATGTTGCTCACTTGGTAGAACAGCATCTGGTCTCCAAGGGAGCTCCAGTAGGAATATGTCAGTAAAGAGAAAAAGGGAATCTGAGGATGCCAATCTGGCCAGCAGGTTTGTCCTGCAGGTTCTGACTGTTCTCAACTATGTGGACCATGGCTGGGGAAATGGGTCTTCTCAATAAAGAGCTCATGGAAATTCTGTTGTTTGATTGCAAGGTCTAAAACAGGCAGCTTTCCTAGGTCCAGAGACACCAGCCCCAACTTGGACTCTAACCCCGCCCCCGCCTCAGCTCCGTGTTTGTTTAACCTCGTTATTGACACAGGTTTGTTGTACTTCAGGGTCCTGAAGGGTACAGCCCAGGTTCCCGAGTCTGTTCAACAATTCCTGCCTCCTAGTCCCAAAATTGGCTAAACAGACCCTCATGTTTTGATAGCGATTTCCATTGTCCGTGTACCCCCACAGCAAGTGTGGCTCTGAGGCTGAAGGATTCCATGGGGATGTGGCTGGTGAGGTGAGGGCATGAGAAGTATTGTGTCCAAGGAGGTTGGGAGCAAGGGGAGGGAAAAGCCAAGGCAGAAGCTTGTTGTCTTGGTAACCAGGAAGATAGAATTATGTAATTAAAATCTGAACTTGGCTATAAACAAAACTCCAGGAAAATTAGAATTGAACTTGGACATTTTGAAATTTGAGTGTGAGGTAGCAGAGGAGGGGAGGGTTAGTTTTCAGTGGGTAGACACTCAAGGAAAAGGTGTTTTTTAGAAATGGTATATGCAATAATTAAGGAAGTGATCAGGAGCTAAAGAATAAAGAGCATCATATAACTGTAATTAACTAACCTTGACTGCTGTTACTGGCGGAAGCCACCTAGGAAGGCACATGGCAGAGAGGACATCACCTTCTCTGACCACTAAGCTAGGCTGAGAAGAGTGACGTGAAAAGGTTGAGTGGAAACAAGATGAGTGTTATGGCTGTAGAAGGCCTATGCACCTTTGGGCTTTGGTCTGTCAATCACTAAGGGAGCAAATCTCTGAGCTGAGCACTGTGGGAAGAGGAACCAGGAAGATGTCTTCCCCCATTGGATCAAGGGGTCAACAACCATCCATCTTTGCCCTTTGAGAGGCTCTGGGTTTGACCCCAGGGATCATGGTGAAAATCCAGATAGCCCAAGGGATGAGGAGGCAGGAAGTGTTCCGGAGTCAGGCAAGCAACAAACTCATCTGGACCCTTGCCTTTTGACGTCCCTGGTCTGCCTGCTATGTGGCCAAGATGTGAAACTTCACATTATGCAGTGGATTAATTTGAAAATGAAATTGCAGCTCAATGAGCTGATGTCAGCATCAGAGTTCACTAGTGTTTAATTAGAGTCACTCAGAGACTTATTTAATCTGCTCCTAGGAAATCATTCTGGCCAAATAATCAAAGAGAATAAAGGTTAGATTTGTATTCCTGGCAAGTTTGTATTGCATTCAGTGTCTCCAAAACATGAATTTCATTAACCTTTCATAGGAAGTCAAATTGCTTTTAATTGGTTGTCATGCTAATTAAAACTGAGTCATTAGGGGAAGTCCTGTTTTTATAGTCCTTTGTGTCTGCACTCATTCCCCCTGCCCCATCATTATATGCTCTTTGAGAATCAGTCATGTGGAGAAAGCCATATTTTATACTCTGAGCATGAAT